GGTTCAGGGTCTTGGGTTTAGGGTTCCTCACAGGCCACGCAGACGGTGCTTCGGTACGATCTTGTCTTTGCCACCTCCTGCGGCCATTGGCCAAAGCCGCCTATTGCGCCTGGAGGTTCGGGCCTGCAAATCTTGACGCCAAACCCTCCCTAAACCTTATGTGGTAAAGCCCTGTGCCCTAAAATAGAGGCCTTATTAAATAGAATAGGGTTTTGGGCACATTATGCTATAACTACACCCAAAATAGTGTAGGTAATTATTGAGGCCCCTACATTATGCAAACCCTTAGCCCTTATAGAAGAATTGTAGACTTGATGGTACCTCATGGAAGTTTTGCGGATTCCTGCTAAACCCGAACCTTGTGTCTGGAACCGGAAAAGTGCTCAGAGTTTAGGGTTTAGGGCAGTCTAGGGCTTTGGGTTTAGGGTTGTGCCAGGTCTGGCATCACCATTTGGGAGCTGAGCCGTGGGAGGCTTGGAAAATCTCTGCGGATGGCGCAGCGAGCGCTGCTACCGCTGGAGAAGATGCTAGGATTGCACATCTGCCAGAGGATTATGGGACCCTTATAAGTTGTAACCTTAAATCGAAGCCCGAACGTGCATATTCTGACTACATAAACCCTAAACCCTAAGCCATAAACTCTGATCCCTAAACCCTAAGCCATAAACTCTGAACCCTAAACCCTAAGCCCTAAACCACGATATAAACCCTTAAGATTAGTAAATCGAGGCATGGGGGAGGGAAGCTCTCTCGATGAACCCCGCAGCCCCATGTAGACCCTCGCTAAGCTGAGCCCGACAATAAAACTGAAACCCTGCAAACCCGGTGCCCTCAACCCGGTTTAGGGTTTAGGGTTTAGAAACCACAGCCGTTGGCCTGGACCCCTAATAGGGCTTGGGGTTTAGAGTCTAGGGGTTGGGGTTAAGTGTTGAGCCCCAGACCCAGGAATGCGAGCATGGGCCGCAGCCCGCTTTGGGAACTGGACTTCTTGATTCCAGCCATCAGCGTGGACGACTGGCTGGGTGGCTGCGTTGCAGCAGCTCAAGCTGCACCGCCAAATAGGAAGCTTGGCTATACGGTAACCTACTAAAGTTTACGACAATATGGCTTAAACCCTAAACCCTAAGCTGAGGAGGGTCTCAGCAGCGGTCTCGTGGTCGCAGCTCTTCGTGGCTCAGCTTCTTGAATGCCCATAGGATTTACCTGTGTCCCAAAAGGCTTACTTTTTGTAAGGAAGCACAAAAAAAGAAACATAAGAAAAAACCTTAAGGTAAGCCTTTTCGGCTATAGGTAGGGTTTAGGACTTTGGGTTTAGAGTTCCGTTTAAGGGATCTACATGATTTTATAGGGCTTCTGTAAGGGATCTATCGGGGTTCAGGGTTTAGGACTTGTGGTTTAGGGTTCCTCTAAAGGGATACGGTATACATGGTGTTAGATGGTGTGTATGAGGGATCTACAGGGCTCAGGGCTTAAAGCTTACGGCATTGGATTTAAGTCTTAGGGCTTCTGGTTTGGAGTTCGACAGCTCCAGTTCGAGCAGTTTCCAGTCAAGCCTGCTGCTTCGGTATCGGGAATAATCCCCTTCACCCACGATTCCCATAGCATACCCTCAACCCTAAACCCTAAACCATTGTACTTTGGGTTATTGAGCCCTAAAGCCCAAATCCTAAACCCAGTAGGAGCGTTTCGAGTTTTCGAGGTCAGACGATAAGAATATGCATTGCTCATGAGGAAAAGCGCTCAAGACGCGTACCTTGTTGAAAGAAATGTTGCGCTTATTGGGAGGTCGTCGGACGATATCTGTGCTTTGAACACCTCACTAAGCCCCGAAAGGACTTTTAAGGGCGTTCGTTCGCCAATGCCCACCAAGAAATCGCCATTGCCCATGAAGTTCGCTGCCCACGAAGAAATCGCTATTGGCCGCAAGGAAATCGCCGTTGGCGAGGGCAATGACGAGTTCTTTGTGTGCAGTGGCGATTTCTTCGTGTGTACTGGCGAAAGACACTGAAAATCGCCATTGCACACGACTACCAGTAAAGCTTCAATGCATAAGAAAGACACTTTTAGCTCAGGGTTGCGGGGGTTCCCAAGCACTGTTGTGGGTCTTCCGGGTAGTAGACCAGGTTTTTTGGTTTTGAGGGCTTCGTGTTGCCGAGCTTAGCAGTTGTGGCAGTTCAGTGAAGTGTTAGGTGCGGTGTAGCGTAGTATCCCAGCATGAATAAAGGTTTGGGCTGTGGGTTGAACTTACCGGGCTTTCAGGGCTATGCATGCCGGATGTAGGCTTAGCAAATGTCGTCGTTATTGTTATTCGTATTATCATCAGTCTTATTAGACTATAATATGGAGATTAGTTCCTGTTCTTCACGTTGCTGAGACCGTGAAGCGCGAAGCTGTAATTTAATGTTTAGAGTAAACTCTGCAGACTCATCTGCAAATAACACCACATCTAGACCTAACAGCATGAACGCCCGACGTTCCACATCCTACAAAACCGTACGCGTACAAGTTGGAGTATAAGAACCTTATTGTTAATTTACATTGTAGCTCCGTAGATGCACATATGCAACTACACCTAGATGAACTATACCTTTGGGTATTTAGCTTTCGTCCCCAGACCCCATAAACCCTGTAACCCTAAACCCCAAACCCTGTCCTTACCCCTAAACCCTAAACCCTATAAACTTATAAATTCCGAAACCCTAAACCCTAAACCCTAATTGATCCATCCCTGATGCTGTTTTGAGGCTGCGCACGCCACCAAAACAGCCGCCGCGGTCACCGGAGTCTCGGCGGACTTGAAATGCGGTCTTTTTGCAGACCTTTGGTCATTTTAGGGTTTTGGGGTTCAGGGCTTAGGGTTCAGGGCTTACCAGTGCATGCAAACGACTACTTTTTTCTATTCTTGCGATTAGGAATAGATTTTCCATGCATCGGAAAATAAGTATTCCGCGACTCACCCTTGGAAAACCCGACTGGTGCAAAAAAGTATTCCGCGAATCACCTCAG